CAACTTATAATGAACGTACGATGATTAAATTGCCACCAGGGCAATAAATTGAGAGCACATGGTGCAACTTTCCCTATTATTACTCTTTACGCTTGAACTTTTTCTTCCTCCAGCCATTTCTTGAAAAAAATTGCAAAATTAAATATTTTTAAAAATTCCCAAGTTGAAGTGGTCAACGCCACCAACTACCTTCGTAACTTCTAAAAACTATCATCTACTCTATATGGTTTGACAAGATGTTTAGATAGTTTTGAATTTGTTTAAAAATGAAGAGAGAAGGGGTGTCTGTTTTTTTGGCGAAGCACCACACAAGCCATCGTGGAGTTTTAGGCTTCCATCTGGACTAAGGTAGGGAAGGGGTTGGACTAGTTTCGATTCTCGGACACTATATTTTCAGGGGCAGACGCGGAACTTAAAAATTAGGGAGCACAATCGAATTTGCAAAAAAGTTGGAAGAAATTTTAAAATCGAAAATTTACGTCCAAAAAATCATAATATGAAAATTTACATGGGATATGACTTTTTCGGAAGTAAAATTTCAAAAAAAAAAAAAAATTGATGTCATATTCCATATAAAATTTCCTAATAAAATGATGAAAATTACATTGAAAAATTTGTATCGCAAAAATAATAAATGTTAATAAAATAATTGAATTTTAAAAAAAATGCAAGTTAGACGTCTTTTAATTGAATTTTAAAAAAAAATGCGAGTTAGACCTTTTTTTTAAGACTCACGTTTAACTATTTTCGATATCTGTTTTAACTATTCGATATGCCCATAATGTAGTTCTTGAAATAAGTTTTGAGATGACATAAACAATTTGTAGATTCGATTAGCGTATGATCGTCAGAGAATTTTTAAAATTAGCATATTATCGAAATTCAAATTTATTGTGATTTTGCCCATATTTGGTGGAAATTAAAATCAAATTTTTTAGTAAATTTTGATAAAAGTTAAACAGTTATGGATTCCATGAAATATGTTATTAAAATTAATTGTTAACTTTGATTAAAATTTAAATTTAAATTTCAATCGATACCAAACACGATTTTATAAAAAAAAAATCTCAAAAGTTAGGGGCACTTGGCCCCTAGGACCCCTTTAGGCCCTCCCATGACTATATTTATTCATTAATTTAAAAAGATATATGCGGGAGAATAGTATGAAAGCATTATCTCTAGAAGTACAACAAGAGGGAGAAAAAAAAATGAAATCATAAAGGGTACACTTCCTTACATAAGATTGGCGATGAAATTTTACTTTTAGTACAATATTGGAAACGTTGTGCTTATTAGTCGTAAAATTCTCTTTGGACCTCCTTGAACATCGGATGGTTCAACCAATATTACCACTTGATGGCAGAGCCCATCCACCCCTAGATATAAGAGAAAATTATATAATTCCAGATATTTAAACATCACAATTCAAAAATTAGGTATAAATTTTATTTATTTAAAAATCAGGTAATAATTTTATATTTTAAAAAATATATTAATACTAAGACCCTAATAATTATTTCATTTCCATTCTCTCTGTAAACCCTTCCTTCTCTCTTTCCTCTCATTCTCTCTACTCTCTCCCTTGTTTAATAGTCCCAGCGGAAGACGAGAAGGCGCCACCGAAAGGCGCCATCGTGCAATGAGTGATGAAGCCACTGTAGTAGCGGCGTTGTATGGAGGCTGCTGCGAACTCGGTGGTGTGAACTCGACGAGGCTGCTGAGAACTCGCAGCGTTTCTCGATGGTGCACTCGCTGCCGACGAAGAAAGTAGCCTTCTTCACCGTCGGAAACCAACCGCAGTAGGACCGCCTCGCAAACAATCGCGCATGGTGAGTTGGACTCCTTCAGATCGGTCAGATCGCTAGTCAAAAATTGGAATCCAATGCCCAAATCAAACCAACCCTAGATGAGTTGGGCAACGGCATTTGGTGGTTGTGGTGTTTTCAGTTTGTAATTTAAATGGTTGTGTTTTAGTGGAGGTTGTAATAGTGAGAGGTGGTGGTGTTGTGGTTGTTTAGTGGTGGTGGTACGTTGATAATCGTGAGGGTTGCGGGTGATGTCTATACTGTTGAGGGGACAGGGATGGTGGTGGATCTGGTTGCGGGTATGAGATTTTTTTTTTTTGTTAGTTCTGGTGGTGACGGCTTTGGGATTTTTTTTGCTAGATCTGGTGGTAACGGCTTTGTTGGTGGTGGTGCTGTTGTGGTGGCGCCGACTCTTATGGGGTTAGCGATGGAGCTGGTGGCGACGAAGGGTGGTGGTTGTTGGTGGCCGGAGATCTGGTGGTGATGATTTTTGGCCGGAGATCTGGTGGCCGGAGATTTGTTGGCGATGTCAGTATCAATTGGTAGCGGTGGTGTTGTGACGATGGCGAGGGTGGGATATTTTATGTGACCAACTATTTGGTTGATGTGTGACCAAATTTGAAAATATGTGACCGATAGATAAAATGTGACCTATAATTTTTTTGATCTGTGACCAACGAAATAAATTGTGACCTATAAAATTTTTAATTTGTGATCGTGAAAAAATCTATGACCAATTAATTTGAAAATATGTGATTGTGTGACGTATAAATTTTGATACGTGACCAACTAATTTTGAAGTATGTGACCAACGAATTAATTGTGACCTACAAAATTTTTAAACTGTGACTGCAAAATAATATGTTGTGGCGGGAATAAGGATGTTCAAAAGTCCCGAACCGAACCCGAACCCGAACCCGAACCGAACCGAGCGGTTCTTCATAAATTAAATACCCGAACGGGTACCCGAATCGAGAACCGATGGGTTTGGGTCGGATCTCGGGTCTAGACGAAGAACCGAAACTAAATAATTTTTTTATTTTTTATATTGAATTAATTAAATTATTTTATTTTTTCTATACAAATTAGCAAATTAATTAAATAAATTAAATTATTTCATAATTTTAATTTTAAAGCCCAAATCATTTTTAAAATCCATTAGCCCATTTTAATTTGAAGCAAATGAATATACTTTATATA